AATCTATTGACCAATGATAAATGAATCTATAACATCGGGCGAGACGAAAAGCTTTTGCATTTCTTCCTTGAATACAAATCAAAAATCATCTTCAAAGGCAATGACTTACAACTGAAGAGATCAAAAGTTTTTCCGTAAGAGATCATTCATAATAATAATCCAAAGCTTGGGACCGGAAAACAGAACCTTGGACATCCCCTTGAGGTCGACGAACACTTGAGGTGCCACCCAAAGAAAGCTCGACCGTCCTGTTTTTTCAGCAAATCAGAAAACAACATTAAAACATTTTGAGGTATCTTCATTTCTTTTAGTAAATAAGAATAGCAGGCCACCATGCATTATCGAAAGCTCCTTCAATATCAAGAAAAATTAAAATAGGTGTACAAACCTCTCATCTTACCCTCTGTACAATGTTGCTAAGAAGACGCAGAAGTGCATCGTCAGCACATTTTTTTGAGCAATGAACCATATTGGTCCAGCACTAAGAATATTTTTTTATTAGATGCAAGTAATTATGAGTAATTAGTTTTTCAAACATTTACCTAAAGAAGAAAGAGACAGATACACCTAAGATTATTCACATGTGGAACAGTGAAACTTTGTTTCTTGGGTATCACTAACAACAAGGGCGTTCTTCAAGTTCGTGGAAAAGCACCAAGATTCAAACATATATTAAATACTCTATGAAAACTGCAGGAAAAAGCCGATGGAAGTATCTTATGATTTCATTGGGAATACAGTCCGGGCCAGGAGACCTGCCAAGCCCTATATTACGAATTACATCATCAACCTCGGCCTGCGAAAAGGAGGATCAATCTGAGACGCTAATAACGCGAGCAAATGAGCCCACTGAGTATGAAAGTCATATCAAGCTCACACAATCAGGAGGAAAAGCTTTATCAAGAATGCTCGATATAGTTCCCCAAGAAGACGTAAAGTTACCGCTGAAAGCGAGGCCCGAGATCTCAAATCTTCCTCATAAAATTTCTTTAATACCATAAGTGTAAAATTTTTTTCCACACATCTCATATTATATCGGAAAGAACTTCCTCCAAGACCTAATTTGCTCAATAGCATTTCATTGTATTTTTTCCTTAAATCAAGGTATTTCCGCTTATACAAGTCCCTTATATCATTGCTAGTAGTCCTCTGGACCTCCGTCTAGCCGCGTTGACTCTCTCATAATGGAAATTTTCCAATGACCACCAAGGTACTTGCTACCAGTCCTTCTATGACATAGATTTAATCATGCCCGAAAAATAACTGAAGTCATAAATCTACAATCGCATTAAGTGAGTCAGTGCCTCGAGAGATCCAAACCTTAATGATCAAAGAAATATACTGTGAACAATATTTTTCAAAATATCCCCATTTACTTTTTTGTGTTAACAAAATTCTACTGACAGCAATTAAAGAAGCATCAAAACAGATAAGTCGAATCAGCATTGCATGATTGACAATGATCACAGTCCGAGAGAACCCGTGAACATTTGGCTAGCAAATCAGTCCCATAATTGTGACTCTTATAGCTTGATCCCTGTTCCGAACAAAAGGTAGGGCCACAGTCCTCATTGATCACGTATAAGTTATAGGAGTGAAAATCTCCAGCTTGTTTCCCGAGCACACTGTAGGGACTAACCAGGTCAGACTAATATTGGAATCCATACCCCAAATAACTTTGCAAGATCCTCAGCCTGGAAGACCACTTATTTTATGAAATCATTCAATACATCGGGAGGGCTCAAAGTAATGAAAAATAAAAATATTTAGTATCGTTTAAAAATATATCAAGAATCACATATTATAATCCAGAAATCTCAAAACCAAAAAAGTAGGTAAAAATCCGGCTCGAACACAATAGCAGCCTTTATGATCTCTGAGTTAAATCATAGTATACCTAAAGGAACTCGGAAAGCCAGGCATAAGGCCATGATAAGAGTAAGGTTCTTGATAAAGCAACAGACTTGTTTTACCTCCATATTCAAAACAGTTGCTAGTACAGCCTTACATCTATGTAAATTAATTGAAATTTTAAAATAAAATTATGACTATTATCCATATTTGTTCTTGCTATTTTTGCCTTCTTATAAATTCATGACAAGAGCAACTTTCAAAAAGGCATGGCCTACATTAAGTTTTTTTTTCTCATTTTTTTTTTAGATTGCGTCCTAATGCAATGATCAGACTTCAAATTTTTGTGGGCACTTTTACTTTCATGTTCCGGCAAGAAAAACACGCGCGTAGATTTTAAATGTCAGCCGTGATTGCTGTTCTTAGAACTGTACTAATAAGAACACAACTGAACCCGTGTTACAATACATTCACCCCTCCGCCAATTTCTTCTTTCACCCGACCCGAGAACCGCATCTATCTACGAATATATTTCTATCCATTCGTTTGTTAAAATTTCCCAGAAAAATAATAATAAATAAGAGAAGACTAAATAAATCTGCAATGCGAACAACACAGTGATAATTCACAACTGAATCCCAAGCGGATGGTTTCAAAACTCCAACCCGCGCATAGGATAATCCGCTGTGTATATATCCTATATCTCTCTCTCCTTGAATGCATTTATGTATTTCTCTGTTAATGTAATTATTATTTATTTATGTGATGTTATTTAATCATGTAATGGTATATGTTTAGTGGAGATCACATGGACTCGATTCAGGAGAATAGGCAATTTTTGACACTATGCCATTGCCACGCACACTTTTTCTCCGCCTAGAGCTCCAGAGCTTCTCCAGAGCTTTTTCCTAAGCTTTCTCCGCCTAAGGCATATCAGCTGCTGGAGTTTCTTCCGGACTCATTCATCGGTTCGCTAGTTACGAACTCTATGTGTATTCGAATTTTGCTCTCCAACTGTTCGACGTTCAAAGACTCGAAAATCGTACATCTCCTATGCCGGGATAGCATCGTAACGCGGGGACCCTTTTTGCGATAAACTCATCGAGTTTGCCGAGCCGAAGCACGAATAGTGATATATAACAGTATCCGTCAACAGATGAATTTAATGAAATGCTAGAATGCGTAAAACTCGATGGTCAGAGAAACCATTGAGTTCTACGCGCGAAAAATTATCGGTTGAACTATTATGCCAACTTGGCGATTTTACATTTACGGTCTCTGCGAAGTGCTTCCTAGAGATCAAACTATAGAAAATGAGGATACGAAAAATTTCATATTGAACTATACTGTGCCACAATATGACTTACAAATATGTAATATAACGCCGCTTGCGGTATTAAGGTTACCTGTATAAACCACTTAAATTTGTTTATTAAGCACTCTCCCTTCTCGTGTTTTATTTGAGTCGCGCCTGCGCAATTTGATTCGTGTATAATCTCTATCATTATGTTTTTCTCTGTTATGTATTATTATTTATTTATGTGATGTTTTTAATCAGTAATGTATATATGTGAGTGTCACATGACTCCGATTCAGGTAGAATTAGGCAATTTCTTTTTCACCTATGCCATTGCCATGCACACTTATGTCCGCCTAAGGCCAACAGCTGCTGGAGTTGTTTCTTCTGGACTCAATCATCGGTTCGCTACGTTATGAACTCTATGTGTATTCGAATATTTTCTCCAATTATTCGACTATCAAAGATTCGAAAATCGTAAATTTCCTATGCCGGGATAGCGTTGTAACGCGGGGACCCCTTTTGCGATCAACTCATCGAGTTTGCCTGAGCCGAAGACACGAGAGCTCGTGATATTATTAACAGTAATCCGTCAACAGATGAAATTTTAATGAAATGGTAGGATGCGTAAAATCTCGATTGGTCGAGATGAATTACTCATTGAGTTCTACGCGCGAAAAATTAGTCGTAAAAGTGCTACAGGGAATAACCGAAAATTAGACACTGTTAGACTGTACGGTAAACTGGAATCTTATTTGGGAGCTCTGGAATCCATTGGTTTGACTTTGGATAAATATTCTATCATGCTTTTCCCTTTCATTGAATCTTGCATACCGGCGGACATTTATAGGGTGTGGTTGCGAAATTTGATCGTTAGTACACTGAATGATTCAGCGGAGAATCCATACAGTGAAAAGCTTGTTACTGTTTATGAAAACAGAAGTAGAAGGAGAAGAGCGAGTTTTCTTAATGAAATTTGTGTTTTCGAATAAATATGAAAAAGGGGAGAAAGCCTAATGCTCTTAATCAACCGACAACTGCAGATTTATTTTCAGGAGTTTTCGAAAAGAGAAAATAAAACGTAGCTTGTGTATTTTGTGAAATGGCACACAAGAGCAGAGATTGTTTTAGGCTCAAACTCTGAATATCCAGCAGAAACAATATATTTTAAAGGATAAAAAAGTCTGCCTTATATGTTTAAGAGCCGGACATCGATCAAACTTTGCAAGACAAATATTAAATGTATTGTTTGTGGAAAAAGACATTTGGTTTTAATGTCTCCAGAGCTGAAAACTAATGAATTGATTCTCTTAAATCTGAAGAAACAAAACCAAGCGATAACAGCCTGTCAAATCATTGTTTCTCTGGTGAAGTTCTACTCCAGACGTTACAGGTTAGGTTGAAATCAGGAAATAAAGAAAAACAAGTACGTGTACTCATCGATAGTGGTTCCCAGCATTCATACATATTGAGGACAACTGTAGAATAGATGGGTATGGAACCAACTGGTAATAGGTTTTTGATTCACACTCTTTTCCGAGGATTAACGACTGAGATGAAGGAGCATCGTCAGTATGAACTTGACATTGAATCCTTAAACATTAAATTTTACTGTAAGATAGAAGCTCTAGATTAGTCTATTATTTGTGTAAAATTTCTGCGACTAAAGAAAGGAGGATTATGGGGAAAAGAGTGAAAGGAAAAGAAGATGTGGCTTAATAATTATGGAAAGAATTTTCCCGATATCGAGATATTGATTGGAGCTGATTTTTGTGGTCATTTGTTTACGGGAAAAACTCATTATCTTAAGTAAGGCTTAGTCGCATATGAAACGCTTTTTGGTCGGCTGATTATGGGGAAAATGTTTGATGAGAATCCTGTTAGCACCTCTTCAAACTTAATCACCTCTCTTCTGATAAAAAATGCGTCAATTGCTGATCTGTCGAACTTGAATACTCTAGGTATCGGAGATCCTATTGAAATAAAATCTAAAGAAGCGACACATCAATTAGATATGCAACAGTTCCAGCAAACGGTGAGAAGGGATAAAGAAGGTCGTTACTTCGTGAAGCTGCCTTGGTTAGAAAAACAGGAGATTTTGAAGGAAAATAAATTGGTTGCAGAGCGCAGGTGTACAACTACAGAGAAACTTATTAAGGAAGGCAGATATGTAGATTATGATGCTGTTTCCCAGGAATGGTTAGCAGAAAATATTATTAAAGAAGTATCACCTTCGGAAGAAAATAAAATTCCATGCCATTATTTACCCCATCGAGGCGTTTTCAAGAAAAACTCCACCACAAACGTTCGATCCGTTTTCGATAACTCTTGTAGATCCGGTCATTCTCCATCACTCAAGGATGTTCTAGAAAAAGAACCAAATCTCTTAGAGAAAATCCTTCCACTACTACTGAGGTTTCGGGAAAGATTGATTGGCATCATTTCGGGCATAATAAAAGCCTTACAGATTTCTATTCCCGAAGAAAATCAAGACTGTTTGGGATTTTTATAGTGGGAGTGCTTTGAGAAAAGAAAATTAAAAATTTATTGTCATAAAAGGTTAGTCTTTGGACTCAAATGCAATCCATTCATTCCTCTAAACTGCAGTCTTTAATTTTCATTTGGAGGAATGCCGTGATGATTTTCCAGAAACGGTGCGTAAGTTAAAAAAATGCCTTTTATGTAGATAACATTGTAATATCTCTATCTGATGAAAAGTAACTATTGCAATTTGTACATGAGACTAAACAAATTCTAGCTTCAGCATGTTTTGACTTATGTGGATGGGAATATACACTTACTGACGAAATGAAGGCTCTGGAAGGCCAAGGAGCACAAATGTGAGGCAAAATAGGATGATTGTTTCGCCAGGCTCGAACCACCCCAACGGTATCATTGTCAGCTGTTCAACGTACTACAGCCACGTCTATATCTCCCGTGGTACCGTCCACCATCTCACGGCGATTGTCTGAGGCGGGGTTACGCTCACAGAGGCCTTTAAGACGTTTGCCTTTCACCCCACAACATTGGCGGAGTCGTCTGGAGTGGTGTCGCAGCCGATCATCGTGGCTGACATCAGACTGGCATCGTATAGTGTTCAGCGATGAATCCCGCTTCACTCTTGAAGCAGATGACCACCGTGTTCGTATCTGGAGAGGACAGGGCCAGTGGTCCGAATCAGCCCCTGTTTTACAAAAACATACAGCCGTAACCTCTGGTGTGATGGTGTGGGGCGCTTTTCTTAAGACAGTAGGTCATCTTTAGTCATCCTCCGTACATCTTTAATAGCTCAACAATATGTTGCTACCATCCTGCGGCCGGTCGCATTAACGTCATGCTGGGGCCATTTTCCAACAAGATAATGCCAGGCCACATACCGCTCGCATATCTGTGAACTGTCTCCGTGCGGTTGATACTCTTCCTTGGTCAATCGTCAATCGAGCATGTCTGATGCCTGGTAGGCCGCCAGATTCGGGCAACGCAAAATATCGCAGATCTGGAGCGACAACTGATGAATGCCTGGCAGAATGTGTCGCAGGATGATATTAGGAAACTTTACCACTCCTTGCCTCAATAAATTCAAGCATGCATTGCCGCCAGGGGCGGTTCGACCAACTACTAAATTTGAACACTCAATGGGTGATTCTGAGCCGTGAACAGGTACTATGACCTTGATTTTTTAAACATTATATTATCTGTGTATGAGCTATACACATATTCAGTTTCATTAAAAAAGCCCACTTCCTTCACTGTGCTTCGATTTTTTTGCAAAAGTGTGTACATGTAATAAAAGGGACAGAAATCTTGCATATAAATTTATGACTTTATGGATCAAGTCATTCTCCACATTTCGATATGCATTCTCTTTAATATTCATTCAATTCATAATTAGTGTGTTGGTTTATTATATACTCGGATCAATTGATTTTTTGGAGTATTAGAATGCTCAAACTCCCTCTTTTTTTCAACATTTGCCTGGCAGTACATCTAGCATATTACCTAGCAGTAAAAACAATAGTTACTTTTGTTCCGTATAAAATGTAATCTACGGAACCAACATGTTTTCTTTAAAAATATCTATTTTTCAAATCGTCTTAGATGCTTTTAATTTAGTGCATAGAAGCACTAACTAGTTTAATTTTACTGAAAAATGATTTTTATCACTTTAATTAAAAAATAATCATGCAGTCATGTCAATAATCATGCTAAAAAAATAAAATAAATAAGAGAGAGAGAAGAAAAGAAAATCTGCGTTTAAATTTTCTGGCTGTACTTTTTAATTTGAACCATACAATGACTGATATAAAAAGGACTAGTTTCCGTTAATATGTCCGTGCTGAACTGCCACCAGTGAACTCAATATAAATTGTACGCGTTTTTACTATCGCTGAGATTCCTGTTATTTATTCCCTGTCCGTATTTGATTAATTAAAGATTTCAATTTATTTTATTGGGTGTCTAGCATTAATAGACCTCACAATTTCTTAACCGTTCTGTTTCTTTCTTTCTTATTAAGATGTTCTTAAATAAGCAATTTTTTTTTTGTTTAGTAAACTGCGGCTACCTGCTGAGGACGGACGTCTGTTATGCATGTTACAATTCACGAACCAATATTCAGCGATCCGACGCTCGCCGCCAGTTTCCTGTAAGATTTCTTTTTATTTAATTAAAATTTTCGTAACATAATGAATGAATTCCATCGGATATTTTTTAGGATAATTCATTTCGGTCAATATTTTTTTTAATTTAATTTTCGTTACATACCTTTTAGGTTAATCACAGTTTTTGCTTATGTTTTTGTTTAAAACACCAACCTTCTTTGAGTATCATTTTCTTTTTCATAACTACAGTCATTACAGTAATATTTTTATGTATGTATATTTTACTTACTTTATTTTAAATACATACATATTTCAAATTCCTTTTTCATTATGGCGTTTCCACGTGATGTTTTTAATTCTGGATCACTCCTAAGGCGACTTCGTTACTTTCTGCAACCTTTTAAACACGTTTTCGCTCAATTTATTTTTGGAAACCAAACGTGAAAGGACGCAGGTATGTGGCTCTTTGTTCATTCATTTCTCACGAATGCTCAGCTTTTTGGTCTTACGGGACCCCTCATTCTCTTCATTTTTTTTTCACGAAGAAGTTTTTTATTTTTTGCGCTTACGGGCTAGCCCTAAAATACTGTTTATATCTAAAATACTGTTTTCTAACTTTAAGTTCATCTGTGTTTTCTGACGCGCAGGCCTGTTGGAAAAGCACAGATCATTTGAGACATCGTTAATAATAAAAAAAATAAGTTTCAAACTTTTCTTACATTTCATCTAGGAAAGCAATTACAGTCTCAATGACACAAGTGTCCAACGATTTTCGCCTACTATTTAGTTTGCTGTGCGTTGTCCTTCTTAATATTAGGTTTTTTTTTCGAGTGCAATTTTGTTTTTTAACATAGTTTGAACTTTGATAACATGTAATCTCTAGAATAGATTCTCCAATGTTCCTTACAGTTTTTTGATCAACTAGATCATAATATATACATACAATATGTATATTTATGATAAGAAAAGTGTGAGAGCGAATTACAACATAGCATATTCAGTGTTTTCACAAGTTCGAAAAATATAGATAGATAGATAGATAGACAGACAGAGAGAGAGATAGAGTTAGATTGATAGACACAGACAGGATAGATAGATAGAGGATAGATAGTAGAGTGATAGATAGAGTCGGATAGATAGATATAATATATATAGAGAGGAGAGGATGAGTGAGTGAGTGAGTGAGAGAGAGAGAGAGCCTGTATATAGATGGTTTTTTTTGTGTTTGATTAAATTTCTTTGAAATATTTATTGATTATTGCATGTGTGAAATCCCGAAAACTGTATAGTAGCCTTACATATCACTTGCGTTTCCCTCCTTCTAAATGTCCTTCTAGCAATTAATGTAACTCCAATACTATAGTAACATAATGTAAATCCAATACATTAAAACAATTAATGTAACTCATAATACTAACATAATGTACTCCTTAAACATTAATGTGTTCATATAGATGTGTGTGTTTCAATTTATTTCTATTAAATATTTATTGAATTTGCAAGTGCAGCTAGAATCCCGAGTATGGCTGTGAAAGTAGCCTTACATTTTAAACGTTGTTTCCCTCCCTGTTGCAGTTCTCTATATGTATATTTCTCTTTATTTATGTTGTTTTAATTTCAAATTATAATGTGTGCATGTGTTTATATAGATGTGTGATTCATTAAATTCCATTTAAATATTTATTGAATTTGTTCATTTGTGTCTCCCTCCCTGTAACATGTTTTGTTTTCAGTTTATTTATTTGTGTTCATTTACATTCAACTTTATTTATGCCTTCGTGGTCTTCACATAAAATACAAAATGACTTGAAAAAATGGTCCGTATTTACGTGACCCTGAGGGAAACCACGAAAACCCCATCAACCAGTCTGTTCATCATTATGCATAAATTTACTATAAACAAACTCAAAACTTTAAAGGTTTCGCGTTAAACAAGAGCATGCATTTTTTACACGGTTACTGTTTGGCCCCTCGGGGAGACTATGTGCGCGCCTTCGCGCGCACCAGGAGGGGGGCCAACACACAACCGGGAATTTGCCTAAACGACTGATCGCCATCACCTCATGCGGCTTCGCCGCACGCGGTCGATGCGATCACTATATTCCAAACAAGTTATGGAATTCTAAAGGTTTGTCAACTGCTTCTACAATCTTTATTCTCATAAAATTCGATTCCATTTCAAAATTATAGCAAGCACCACTCTTTCGAGTGCTCCCCGTACAGTTTCCCGAAAGAACTTCAAATTTATTCAACTCTATTTACCTTTGTGATTGCTTTTCTAACAATCCTTTCAACAGTTCAAGCTTTCTAAGTTTGATGTAACCTCATAGCTTCCTCACCGTTGATTAGAACAATTCCGATAAGTATCAACTTTTCATTCCCTTTCAAAGGTGGTGTAAGCATTTTCCACTAATATTTAAAAGTTAATTCCTTGAACAGACTTATTTTCATTCCTTTTTTCTCAGAAAGAAACTGCATTCATTTACTTCTATTCCACTCTGTTGCATCTTAAAGAACCCCTGAACAGTAAGGGCACTGTGTTCATTCTTTACTTCTGCTGACGCACATAAAAGCGCATTGAAATGCGCTTCGTTATGGCGTTTGGTACCGAATTCACGCCCTTTTTGACTCTTTTCGAACCTGTTAAATTCATTCCATGCCCTTGTCAATTCTAATGATTTCCTCATCCTCTGTCGACCCTGCGTACTTGTTTCCTTGTGGTTTTGAATGAATTGTCGTTCGTTCTGCGCTCAAACTCTTTCCCTCCCTGTACTCGATATTCTGTGAACTTCGATTTCTTTTCACTCCACATGACATGTAGATCGAAGTAGTTACTCAAAAGAGAGGGACACTGCATTTCTACCACTCTTTCATTCCTCCCTGTACATTCCATACTCTGTGAAGAACCAAC